TAATAATGCTTCTGAAAATGAGGAGGAGGACTTAAGTGAAATGTGTGGCTATATCTACAGGTTGTGCAGAAGCTCTGATGCAAGCACTAGTGATTCTAAACATTGTCATTTCTGTGGTCTCGTGTCAGTAAGGGACCTGTGTTTACTTACGTATTCATAATTTATTTATGCAAAAAGAATGCATATAAAGAAGTGGAAGCACGGAATTTATTTTGTTCTCTGGTACAGAATAATGTGTGTCCTTTCTGTAGCTTCACAGAGGGAAAAACCCATTGGATCTCATTGCACCCGGCTCCCGACTAGAACTGCAAAATGTCCGGGATTCCCTGGAAGCCTGGATAGTCAACGTGGTAGAAAATGTTGGTGGGAGACTTAAACTGCGATATGAAGGGATGGAGGATTCTGACAAATTTGACCAGTGGCTGTTCTACTTGGACCCTTTCCTCCATCAAGTGGGGTGGGCAGCTCAACATGGATATAGCCTGCAGCCACCTTTAGGTACTTCAAAACGTGTATCTTTTGTATGATGATCAGAGGCTAGAGAATGCTGATTCCACAGCACTACTTAAGTGAATAATGTCTTTTTAAAAATACTAGTTAGCTGCTGGACTTGGTTAGATTTCATGTCTGTGTAAAAGCTTTGATGCACTCACAGGGATCCTTTGTGTGTGATGGCACTGGTCGATGTAGTTGCTCTTGTATCAGAGTGGTGTGTGGTGTGCAATTACATACGCTAGAAGAGTATCATATGCAGCTGGGACAGACTTGGGGAACATCTCTTGAACTCTCTGCTTGTTTAAGCATAAAACAAGCAAGCATTATCCAGCTGGGATTTGTTTTCTGGTCATCCATTTCTCCTGAAGTTTTTCTCAGTGTTGGTGTGATTTCATTTTTCTTGGAAAAACTAGACTGGGCAGCATGTGGGTGATACAGTGTTGCTTGACTTCAGTCCCTTTTGTAACACATCCAAATGTCAAAGAACACTTAAGTTTTCAAGAAGGAAGGTATTTGCACACATTCTGAAAAGATGAATTTGGCAGTTGGAGGAGCACAAATCAAGCCATTAGCTTTATTGCTGTGTGTTTTAAAGGAAAAGAGGGAAGATGGTTTCATTCACTGTTTTCCTTTCTTTTTACTCAAGCCATTAGGTCCTTGAAGACCGAAGCAGATTGGCAAGAGATCCTGAAGAAAGTGAAAGAGGAGGAAGAGGAGTCATCAGTTCCTACAGATCTCTTTAAGGTAGAGACACAGTATATATAGTTTAATGTTGTGGATGATATGAATGTTACATGCCAAATAAATGATTTGGGGAAGTCGGTCCCTGTTGGTCAGAATTCTTTCACTGTTTTGGTTTGTTTGCTTTGGCTTTTTTAAATTTATTCTTTCCCCTCTAGCTTAAAAAAGCAAGAATAATAAAAATTAATCATCCTATTATACAATTCTTGTTAAGTTAGGCAATGCACCCTTCACAAGTATGTGAGCCATTAGTTGTTATACTCAGGAAAGTCTCTGGTTCTGATCCTTTATAACGGCATCTCTGGTTGTTCACCAGCTGGACTTGTGGATTAGTGTCCTTCTAGAGGAGGGCAGGCTTACTACAGTCTCTAAATGTGTAAGTACATCAAAAAGTTTAACGTGTGTAGCATCTAACACATGGTGTATAAGGAGTCCTGTTATATCCTGGGTGTTAGCAAATGCTACTAATGAGTCTGAATTTAAACATACATGGATTGAAATTTAAAAAGAAAGAAATACTGACATGTTTCGAGAAGTAGGAATGTAAATTTAGTCCTTCGAGTTCGTATTTAATTTTTCTTAGCTTTGTTTGGACCCTTAAGCAGAATGGAAGAAGAGGTGCTGTTGCTCTTGAATGTGTTGGGTTTTATATAGAGCAGGATATGTACAATTCTGGAGCAGGAGTCATTTTGCAGGGTTTTGTTAGGCTGAAAATGGAGACTTTTGTAGTTCTCTTTTAGTGTAGCTCATGATGAGTGCTAGAGGTCAGGGGTGGAAAAAAAAATCACTGACTTACCAGACCACCCCGTATTGTGAAATCTTGCTTCTGTGTGGAGAGTGTCAGAGGAGGAAATCTTGGGGACTCAATTTCCTAAAACTTACAAAGCTCTGGCAGTCTCAGGCGGTGTAGTTGGCCTCTTCATTATAGAAGGGTTGCTAGTTCTCTGAGATGTTGATTTCTTAGAATGAAGTAATAAAGACTCAAGTTACCCTCTTCAGATGAATTACAAAACGTATGTCCTTTTTAATGGAGAAAGGTAGATAATGACACTGATACATCATCTTTCAGGATAAACCTGTGATTGGAGTGCATTCATTCTCTGAAGGCATGAAGTTAGAAGCTGTGGATCCAATGGCTCCATTTGTAATCTCTCCTGCTACAGTTCTCAAGGTACCACGATTCTTTAATTTATCCTGCTAAGATTCAATTCTGGACAGATGAATTTAGCAGTTGGAGGAGCACAACATAAAATCATAGAATGGTTTGGGTTGAAAAGGACCTTAAGATCATCTAGTTCCAACCTCCTGCCATGAGCAGGGACACCACACACTAAACCATGTCACCCAAGACTCCATCCAGCCTGGCCTTGAACACTGCCAGGGATGGAGCATTCACAACTTCCTTGGGCAACCCATTCCAGTGCCTCACCACCCTCACAGAAATTCTCATTAACTGATTACCTTAAAGTCCTGAGCTAGTTTTCAAATGCAGTATTTTGTAGGTCTCACTTAGGGGACAGATTGCTGTGAAAAAGAATCTTAACTGCTGATGGTGAAGCCATTGGATTTGAATGGAGGGGAAAGTTCCATAAGGATACAAGCTCAAAAGATCAAGTGGATAAAACTGTCAAAACCAGATTTTAAAAATCTGATCTATTCTCTCATAATCTGAGTATCCAGTTGAAGATAAGTTTTGGGGGGTTGTTTTTGCCAGTTATATCATTACTATGTGCAAGTTCTGACATGCAGGTGGCCTGATTTTCAAACAAGGGCCCACATATGGGTTTGAAAGTTGAAGTGAAAGCTCCCTACCATAATCAGGTTTTGAGCAACATGTCTTCTTCTGCTAGTAAGCAGGTGAAAGGTTCTGAAGAGTCCTGCTTTGATGCAGTAAACTAAAATCTTGCTGAACAACATAAAACCAGGACATGTTTTAAAATCTTTTTTTATTTTTATTTTCCAGGAACTGCTTTTTCTTTAGGACAGATGGGCTCTCAGTGTAATACCTTACATTTTTGTGGTCTCTATCTTTTAAACTCTAACATACAGTTTATTCCAGTAAGATACTTGCTTATTACTAAAAGGCACAACTAGTTCCAAGAAGAGTAAGATCATTTACTTTTCTTGATATTGTCCTTCTCCTGGGTACGTCAGGAGCATGGTGGTTTTTCTTGTGACAGTCCATCCTGGGACACATTCAGCCTCGTTGAAATAAACAGATTGTTATTACAGAATGGTAGTAAGACCACAAACTCTAATTTCACTGCATTTTTCGTAACAATATTTCATATAGCACTTGATCACCTTATTTTTGAAGTGCTAATACATTACCTCTTACTATTTATTTCTGGTAAGTTTCCAGGTAATGCACAGGAGTCTGCTGTCTTATGAATCCCATAGATTCTCTTTTAATTATTTTTTTTAAGCCCTCACATTATTCAAGGTGAAGGGTTTCCATCACACAGTGTTGCTGTTTAATAAAGTTATCAAAATGGGGGAGAGGGAGCAGTAGATCAGAAGCTGCTACTTATGAGACCACATGGTTCTCTTTTGGCTAACTACAGGTGTACAATGAAAAATACTTCATGATAGAAATTGATGATTTGAGACCAGACCGCACAACCAGCCAGTCTTACATTTGTCATGTCAACAGTGCTGGTATTTTCCCTGTGCAGTGGAGTCTGAAGAACGGTTTGCATCTCATTCCCCCACCAGGTATGTTTGTGCAAGCTTGGCATGCTCCCTCCTCTTTGAAGGAAGTAGATTGCAAATCCCCAGAGCACTGCATTAAGGACAACGCTATTGCAAAAGAATTACATGTAGTAACACAAGCAAAGAATAAGAAAGATCAAGCTGTGAGAAACCAGAGCTCTGAGTTAGTGAAACTGAAGTTTCCTGGTTACGTGCCTGGATTTGAGAAGATCAGAGTGGCTGGGGATGCTTGGTTGTGCATAAAAACCTGAACACTTGAATTGAGTACATGTTCCAGGGCTGAAGGCAGTGTTGATTTCAGCATTAATTAACATGATACCAGAAGCCTATAGTGTTTGCATTGGATTTTTGCTTCTGGTCAAAATGCATCATTGTTACACAACATTTTGTAATATTTTTAGAGTATCTCATCACTTAGAAGTTAAGGTTTGGGGTTTTTTCCCCCAAGGACCTATCAGGCACTGTAGCAGATTGCTGAAACCTTGCTTCAGGACATAAGGGAATAGGGGAGTGATCTTCAGCTACTGAAATATTTATTCATTTTTCTCACAATGGAAATGTCAATGCTATTGTAAAACCAGTACTCTTACCACCACAGAATTCAGAAATGTTTTGGTTTAGCTGCTTATGACATCACAGGAGCAAAGACAGTAAGATGTTTGTCTCTTGCTTTTTCCTTGGGTGAGGTACAAAATGTGGCTTTGCTTGACCCAGCATTACCTAGAATTTTGCATGTGAAAGATGAAATCTCACTTTCTAGGCATGTGACTGGAGCTGACAATGATTTTTAAGCTTCTTGTCTCATAGTCCCCTGGAAATGGTGGTCATTCTGAATTGTATGAGGTCTCAAGAGCTCTACTGTCACTGACAGAACTGAGAAAACCAAATGGATCCTTCTGTGGTTAAACCCTCTCTGAGGAGTTGTTGAAATTCATGTTTTTATGTTGTCATATTAATACTGTATTTTTAGACTAGGTTTAAAATTTTGTTTGATATCTTAAACCCTTGTCACAGGTATTATTTGTAGGGGAGTGCTTCCAAGTTCTACTGGAATAACTGCTACAGTTTTCTCCTTCCTCATATGCTGCCAGCCTTAAACTCTGATGGCAGCACAGTTCCCTTCAGCTATTTGCTTTTTATTAGATCGCAGGGAAGCGAAGTATTTTCTCCAAGAAGAATTTAATTTGTCTTTTTCTTGGGCTCTGTATCCTGATGGACTCCGTGTTCAGACTCTTCTCTTCTCTTCAAACCTGTATGCAGCTTTACAGCTGTTAGCAAACTTGATGAGCCTCTTAGGACATCCGACTGCTCTCTTTAATGACTTAGTATTTAATGTGGTTTTGAGGGAGCAGAGTGTTGGTACTGTGGACATTTTGAGTGCTTTATTTTCTAAAAAATTAACGAGTTTCAGAGCTGATATGACATCAACGAAGTAATCTTGTAGAAACCTTTCCTGAATTTCACCCGTATCCTGTGAAAACGGTGTGAACGCTCCCTTGTGTTTTAGTTGCTGCCCTTGTTTGCTTAGCACATGTACTGTGTTCACACCACAGGTTGCTCTCTGTGAAGCCACTTTTAGTTTGATGCCATTTCAAGTCGAAAATGGGAGTCAAGGTGGGGCAGCGCCCCAAACCCGTTTGCAATAAAAATAAAGAGGATATCTCACATACATGAGAACCCTGTTGTGGGCTGACCTCAGGTGGCTCAGTGAAGCCCTAGTCAGCTCACCAAGTCAAGTAACCCAAACAGATTTCAATGACCTGTGCTTCATGTCAGTTTGAAATGAGTCTCATGCTGCTAAACTAACCCCTTTGCTTTTTCTTCACCTAGGTTATCCTGGGCAGGACTTCGATTGGGCAGACTACCTCAAACAGTGTGGTGCTGAAGCAGCTCCCCAGAGCTGCTTCCCTTCGGTACAGTTCTTTTGCAGAAAAATCTTTCTTCTGTTATGTGAATGATGCTCTGGATTACATGTTTTGACTTAAATTACATTTCCAAGTAGAACAGAATAAAATAGTTCATTTGGAAGGTACCTACGGTGATCATCTAGTCCAACTGCCTGACCTATTCAGGGCAGAAAGTTCAAGCATGTTGTTAAGGGCATTGTCCAAATGCCTCTTAAACCTGGACAGGGATGGGGCATTGACCACCTCTCTGGGAAGCTTGTTCCAGTATTTGACCGCCCTCTCAGTAAAAAAATGCTTCCTAATGCCCAGTCTAAACCTCCCTTGGCACAGCTTTGAACCATTCCCATGTGTCCTATCACTGGATATTAGGGAGAAGAGATTCTACTCCACTTCCCCTCCTGAGGAAGCTGCCTCGATTTCTCCAAACTAGACAAACCCAAAGTCCTTAGCTGCTCCACAAAGGACATGCCTCCCTTCCATTTCACCAGCTTTGTTACCCTCCTCTGGATGCATTTGTGTATTTCTAACACCTTACCTATAGTAACTGAGGAAGCAGAAGAGTTAAGAGAGTTCAAATGTATGTGAACTGAAGTAGGTGCATGCTGGTTTTCTAGATGAGGAGGTAGTGGACCAAATGCTTCAGTTGTGATAAAGTAGATCGAAAATAAATGATAGTTTGGTGAAATTGAGATATGTAAGAGTTTGTGAAATAGTCATAAAACAACATCAATCCTTGGCAGTCCCGTAATTGTGGAAACAGTGCCTTTTAATAGATCTTACTTTCATTTACTTGATGTGCTCTTTCAATCTTTCTTTCTTTCAGGTTGAAAAATTCATTCCATTGTATTAATCAATACCAAGTCATCTTAAATTAGTACCAAATAATAATTTTACATTAATCAGTGCCTGAAGTACTTGCTAGATTTTGGGCTTTTGTTGGTTCAGTGGCAATATTGCTGTCTCCCAAAGCACAATACTTGTCAAGCAGAAAAGGGTAACTATTAAAACCTGCCTTCAAATTCCCTTTACAATACTTGTGTATTGCAGTGCTTAGGGAAAGAAATCAAAATGAATAATTACCATTTTGTAAAGAGGATAAGGCTGGCTGTGAATTCTTGTTGCTCTTGTTCTGCCTTTAGAGCCCCAGACCCAAAGCCCTACCCCCACCTCTTTACATTCAATTTAATAATTGACATCTGAGAACTGGTCACTGAATTTATTATCCCTTTTCTGAGAGAAGTTGATCACTGTAAGCTAGTTCCAGAATTCCTAATGTGTTGATCCTGTAATCATGCTGCAGAGTGGCTCTGGAAGGAAGAGTCCTCTCTCTGGCTGTTACTTCTTATTGTTAATTCAGGAGCTTCAGAGCTGGATAAATATCCATTCTTACATTTTGGGATTTTTTTGTATAAATGTGGACTAAATTGGTGAATAAAGTAAAATCCTACTTATCCCCAAAAAGTAAAATGAAAAAGAACCAAACTCCTTTGCTGTATGTCAGAACAGGATTGTTATTTGCATATGGAAAGTGGATTTCAAAGCTAATAGAATAGAGAGCTGGGTCAGACTATTTGTCAGACGTATCACTTAGGCAGCAAGCAGCAGAAAATTCCTGGTTGCTTAGAATATACTGAGTCCTTTCAGTGAGCCTCATCATCTTTATTTTTGAGTACAAACATGTTCTTTTCTATGTCTGTCTGTAGAACCTTTTTAAACTTAAATTCTTTGTAGTTTGTAATACATCTTATGTATATTTAATGTGCTAATTATCTGAAATCTCTTCTGAGTGCGTATCTTTCTGTGTTACTCAGACACTGAGGCTTTTATGTGTTGCTTCTGTTCATGGCAATTCATATCATGTACTAGGTATACAGATGATATTTTACCGAAGTGTTCTGTCTTTCTCCTAGTTAACTTCTGACCATGGATTTAAAGAGAATATGAAGCTTGAGGCTGTGAACCCAGTTGATCCTGAAGAAGTTTGCATTGCTACGGTCACCAAGTTGAAAGATTCCTACCTCTGGCTTCAGTTGGAGGGTAAGCCTGATGTGGGAGAGGAGAGTAGCACTTGACTGATTCTTCTGTAAGACCATCATCAAACCTGAGGAGTATGTGCAGAAAACTCACTGCATGCAGAGTACGGGCAGCAGGTCACTGTTTCCTCAAAGAAAACACAGCAAAAATCCATTTTCAGTGTCTGTTTCCCAGTTAGTCCTGGATGGCAGTGCCAGTTTAAGCCAGGCAAACTGGCATTTGTACATTGCAGTGTGTCAGTGCTAGGCTTGTGCACTGTTCAAAGGGCTGATCGGTGTCTTTTAGAGAGCAAGCGCCTTGTAATGTTCTTACAAATGAGGGACTTGCATTCTGAGCAAGCTTTGACAAGACTTAGGAAGAAAACTTTTGGAGAGATTCTTCATTAAGATAGAATGGGCCTATGTCAGCTGTTCTCCATTATAATCCCATTTCTTGATTGGAAGTACATCAGCATACACTTACTATGCACTGTGCATCTCTGCTAAACTGTGCATGGCAAATTCCCATCTCCAGCCTTTAGGAGGAAGCAAATGAGGTCAGGAAAGAATATGGTCAGTAAAAGGGGATGAATAAACAATTGATAGTGTGTTCCAAATACAATGTCAGTAAAAGCAGCTTCACTGGCAAATATATAGCAAGCGTTAACCAAATGAAGTTTTTTATTTTTATGAGTTGTTTCAATTTTTGCTTCTCTAAATTGAACAGGCTCCAAGAAGCCCGTCCCTGACTGTATAGTGAGCGTGGAATCAATGAATATATTTCCAGTGGGTTGGTGTGAGACGAATGGATATCAGCTCAGACCTCCTCGCAAAGCAATAGGTATCAGTTCTGCTCTATTTGTGGTGGTTAGCTGGGTTGATAAAGATGGCAAGACCTTCTAGAGCAGGCTACTGCAGAATTATTGCTGGCATCACTGGATTTGGAAACATTCACCATGTACAGAGAATCTATGCCTTGTGCAACTGTTCCTCTGGCTGTTAGGTCAAGTTGGAATCCATACAACAACTCCAAAACAGGCAGTGTTGGCTTGAGACCCTTGCATGCTGTACAAAATAGAAATAAAGGGGATAGTTTCTAAATGGGCCAGGTGGTAATGATCCCTTAATGACAAAATGTTGAATAGTAGATCCTGCCTGTTTTAAACTACACCAGTAAGTAGCATAAGATGGTGTCTTCTCTTAACTGGTTATTGAAACTCTGTTTATTAAGTTTTAATGGGAGTTGGAGAAACTGAAGAAGTTCCTGAATGTTTATTAAGTGAGATACAAAAATTGTAAGATTGGAATGGGCTGTCATTTACTGCAACTCAAAGCAAGAGAAATTAGCTGCTTGTGAAAGCCAGAGTTAGCAAGTGGACCCATCACTCAGTTGACTTTCTTAGTTGCAACACTGTCCTCCTCCATAGCAATTGGCTTAAGTGATAGATGTTTTTAACCAGCAAATTTCATTCCATTTTAAAGTTAAACAGTGTTGAAGTGATTATGCCAGTAAAGTGGCAAGTTAGGCATAAGAACCTAACCTTCGGTTTAGTTTCAGTACTCAAATGTGCTGAAAAGGAAAGCACATCATTCCTTTTTGGTGAGATTCCCTAGGAGACTGGGGATATGCATGCCTGGTTTAATGAATTTTTACTGAAAGTAGAAGTAACCCTTGTTGGGTTACTTCACATTACATGGGCCAGCATGCCTCCAGTGCAGATGAGTCAGCTATCTAACACTGTGGTGACTTTGAAAATGGATTCTTTTGTGTGTAAAACTTAGAGAAAAATATATATATTGTACCAGATGTTTCAATTGTTTGCCTCTCACACTTTGCTGTTTATTTTTTCTTCTTCCTTTCAGTAAACAAGCAGAAAAAAATTGCAGTAGTTCAACCAGAGAAACAGTAAGCAATGGGGTTTTTTTGCTTCTATTTTTTGTTGCAGTTTGGTTTAGTATTTTGTGTTTCTTTTCTTTCTCTAATTGGGAAATCATGTTATCCTGGGGGAGATTTAGCTTTACAGAAGTGCTGTACTGAGCGTTGAGAGATTCCACAATCCATTTATCTTAATGCTGGTAGTTTCTGTTCATGTTGAAAAAGACCTCTTGCACTGCTGTATCAGGAAATAGAAAGATGGAATTTGTTTTTTAACGATGCTGGTGCAACTCAGCTGAATTATTGAATAGGTCAAGTCATCGAAGTTCTGGGGTTGAAGTTGTTGATTGTTCATTTTTAAAAGATCGTGTTATCTGTAAGTATTGGAGTGCATTTAAGAAAAACTAGCCTGAGCTTACAACTGTTTATAAATTTGTGCTTGAGCCTTTTTTAAATAGTGATAAATAAGGAAAATTACTGGATTCCTTTTCAGTTGTATTCCCTTCTCGAATAACAGTTTCTGTAATGTAAACACACATAGGAAATGTGGCTGCCTTAAGATATAGCTGTGATTTTGCAAAGCTGAGCAGAAGATTTGGCTTTAGTGTAAGTAGATGAACTTATAATAGTTCCTTCCCAGACTAAATTTGGTCCTGACTAACCAAAAATGAGAGTTCTGCTAAGATCTACGATTTGTCTGTGAACTCTGTGACATGGATATGAGACTCCTTCATGTGAGGCTGCTCAAAAATGCTCAGAATGCCTGACAGTTGGTTTTATTGACTCTTACAGCTTTACAAACACCAGATCTGTCAGTAGTCCTGCCAATGTTTTCATTGCTCCTAAAAATACTGAGCAGACTGTTCTTCCATGTTTTGCAATTGGGATTCTTACCAGAGTACTTGAGTCATTCCGGTTGTATTTTGTTTAAAATCCATCTTTTTCAAAATGCGTAAGGTATGACTGTACACTGCCTTGTGCCAGGAAATGGGAAATAAAGTTAAAAGGAGGCAAAAAATGTAAACTGTTGTCGGTAGCTTTGTGTTGTGTGTTTACCAGCTTGAAGCCTGTGTACTTCAAGCAAGGAAGGATTGCTGCTAGCTGTAGCAGTACAGTAGTCCTTTCCAAACTGAATGGGATGGTCTTCACGTGTTATTCTTGTGAAACAGGCGAGGTGTAAAAAGCAGATTAATAAGGCTGGACCTGGAGAAAAAATGAGTGGTATGTGTCAGTAACGGAGAGGTGACATTCCTCACAGTCCGTCCTTGTGCCCAACCTTTTTGTCATTTCAGAATTCTGTCTTCAAGGACAGTTCATGATGGACTGAAGAACCAGGAAATGAACTCTTCTGATTCAGGTATTGATCAGGGAGGGCAGGCTAACAAAGACAAAATCCTGAAACAGTTCAGCTGCCTCATTGTTTAGCTGCTCAGTCTTCTTCAGTTAGGGGAGAGGAGGAAAGGGTTTGAAGATTTTCATCCCTTGATGATTTGTTGTACTTCAAAAAAGAATGAAACAAACAAAACCAGAATTACATGTGTCCTGCAATTGATATGTGCATTAAACCTGGAAATTAGATTTTTAAACTAGAACAACCCCCTGCAGCAGAGAATATGTGGAGCCAAATGTGTACGGTGACCTGTGCAGATGATTTTTTTTATTGTCACGTGTTATGTTTAATAATGTTGGGAGAAATGTAACAGGCATGATGCATCTGTGCTCTTGAGTTGTTAGATTCTAGCTTTGGGAAGCAGGTTTGTCTGTTTTTTATGATAACTTCATCATCATAATAAACAAAAGCAATTCAAACAGTAAACTGCTTTGTGTGCCAGATGGCGAAATCTAATAATTTTCTAAACTGTTGCAAGAATGAATATGACGAATAAATACATCTGCTGGTGATACAGTCACACAGATCTATCTGTTTGGCAACAAAATACCTCCTCTGCTATTTTCTGTACAGTGAAATGCACATCTGAAGCTGCACCAAATGTAAGCTTTACAGAAATGATTCGTGCTTGGTTAGCGTCTTAATTGGCTTCTAATAGAGTCATAATGTAAATTTGACTTCATTTATTTACCTGCCAGTTATCAACTACTGAATTTAAGATCTTTATGTGATAGTGTTGCTCAATCAAGAAAAACCACAGCAGTGCTAGGGGAAAACAAGTTTGTATTTATACATGAGTATCTTACAATACGTATTATACCTAACTTTAATTTTGAGCAGTGTGAAACATATAATAGGTGTGGACAACTCGACGTCACTTCATCAAAGGTCACTTCATCAGTTGCTGCATCTCTTGTTTGCTGATTGAGGGAAAACTGTAAAAACACAAAGCAATAGGATATTGCAGTTTAGGATTAACAGTGGAGAACAAGTTTGCCAGGTTCTCTGGGGGCAGAACTTTGGGGGAGAGATAATTATTTGACTGGAAAATTTGTCCATAATTGCTATATAGGAAGTCTTCTGCTACCAAAAAGTTGGGGTTGTCATCTTCTTGCCTGTTCTCACTGGTGTAATACCATGAAGCATCAGACTAGCCAGGAAGAATTGTTGCTTTTCTGATAAATGGCCAAATTTGTTTCTTGTAGTTTGACAGTTTACAAGCATGTGTGTGAAGTATGAAAATATTTTGGCAACATCAAATGACTAAGGCTGTCATTGCAAATGTGACACTGAAACTACCACAAATTCATGTCAGTCAAGACTTTTTCCCATCCTTTTTACAGCAGGCAATGTACTATGTACTGCAAGAAGTCATTCTTTCCTGGGGAGATTGTAGTGTGTGATTTAAATCTTTGCTTTCTCATTTCTCAGTGGTAATTAATGGAAAGTACTGCTGCCCAAAGATCTACTTCAACCACCGGTGCTTCTCAGGGCCTTACCTTAATAAAGGCAGGATTGCAGAGCTTCCACAGTCTGTGGGGCCTGGGAACTGCGTCCTTGTTCTGAAAGAGGTGAGCTGGTTGTACATAGTGGACCTGCATGTAACAGTGTATCATAAATACTGGAGTATCTCTCTAATTATAGTTGGGTAATTAATAAATATAAGCTTATAATGAGTAAAGAGAGTGTTTTGCATAAAGTCAAGTATAAATCATGGACCATTTTCTGAATGGCTGGAAAGAGGTAAAAGCCTCTCATTTATCTGAGTTACAGCCATCCTGCTACTGCTAAGCTTTATTTTAGGTTAATACAGAGTAACCTGTAATTACCACAGTCAAAGGAGTTAGTATCTTTTTATAGCTGTAATAAATGCTTCAATTTTAATTAACAGAATTTAGCTTCAGATAATCCCAAAATTTCTTTACAGTTTGAACTGTTGATGTTAAAACAGAGAAGATACAGTTTTTCTTAGAGGAAACTGCAAACTATTTTCAATAATTAAAAAATTAAAGAATCCTCTGTGTTTTATAAGTTGGATGTGATTTGCATCGGATGAAATTGTGGTTTTACTTTCTAATGTAACTGAGGGAGGGGAAGAGGGAGGAGGCAGCCATTGTTTAATGCCAAAGAGCCTCTTCTCCAGAAGGTGTTTCACAGCAGACTTACAGATACTTAATGCAGTAATTATTTTTCAGCAATCTCCAAAAAGGTCATGGGGTGGTTATCTGACCTGAGAGGCTGAAAGTTTCCCAGGGCGTAACTGTATGTGCACACTTGAGCTCTCATGAAATGATCACTTTAAATGCAGGAATTTTTATCTTCCCTATCACGTATCATAACCTGGAGAGACCTTAAGAAGGACTTTGTCAGACATGATGTAAAACAAGAGTCCAATGGACAAGAGTCAAGCTGATCATTGGAAAAGTTCTTTTCTTGCACAGAGAAAAGTACCCCATCCTTTCTGCAAGTTTCAGTACTCTGATACAAGCACTCCAAAAGAGCAAAGGTGAAGTTCTTTTGGCAGCTTCATTTAAGCTTGAAGGCTTAACCTGCTTCACTGCCTGAAAACATAAAGTATGCACAAATCTTGCTGAGTGTTGCTAAAAGTTCAACCAATATGCTTAGTTGTATTCATTTCAATTATGATTCTTGCTCAGTGTATGAATCCTAATGTGAATTGGGTACTTGCATTATATTTAATACTCTTCTTTTGAACCATCGACTTCCAGACTGCTGCATTAGTGGGAATGAAGCTACAAATTGATTATGCCAAGGTTCTGATGTACCCAATGTGGGAATGATTTGGAATAAGCGCATACTGAAAATAAGAAATTCAGTTTAAATGCACATTTTTTACTATTCCCCACTAACTTCAGATTATTCACAACTTTGAGTTAATTCACAGCACCAGAAAAATTCTCATTTTATTGTAGTACAGGCCTTATCATGGTTCATGAAAGCAAAGCAGAGGAGAGCTTAAGATTCTGCAGTGGAATTTTGTAGTAAGTAGCAGGTTGGCAGGCAGCAAAATCCTGCAGCGTTTTTTGACACATCTTCACATGTCAAACAATCTCTTAAAATAATTGCTTAGATTTACCTAAGGTTATGCAAGTTTTGTAGTGTTCAGCCCCAGGGTTTAATTTAGTGATGTGTAATTCATGGGCAATGACTTGGAAACTGCTGGATACACTTGCGACTTTGCAGACAAATTCTGAGTTTGGCAAGGCCCAAAGTTTCAACTGCTCTCTGTTTTCATTTTGGCAGTATCAGGAGGTATCTGTAATCCTGCTGTGAATGAGTGATTTGATGCTAGATAATTTGGATGAATAGAAGTAATTTCCTATTTTATCCTGGCACTTTAAAAGATATTTACTGTACAAATAACTTAAATGTATTTTTTCCTCTTCCCTCCCTCACTTGCAGGTTCTCACTTTATTGATCAATGCAGCTTACAAACCTAGCCGTGTCCTGCGAGAACTGCAATTGGATGAAGAGGCTGCATGGCATGGCCATGGAGAGACCCTAAAAGCCAAGTAAATTTTTGTCCTGTTCCCTGCAATGTTATCTGCAGTCAATGCTTTAACTTCTCACATTTCAGAAAAGGAAAAATTGCATATTGCATATCAAGATGCTGACAGCCATGAAACTTCCAAATCTGTATACATTTCCTTATGACTATCTGGAGCAGTGCATCTGATTTTAATGCTCCTTAATACATCAGATGTGCTCTGCTACTGGCATGTAAACAGCTAGTGATCAAGTAAGAGTGGTGTGGTACTGGTACAACATACCATATACACTGGCAGGCCTGCAGGTGAGGTTTAAGGTAATGTAATTCACCTGAAGATAATTGTCAGTATTTTAAAGCAGAGGCACATAGTGCTTCGGAGGCTTCTCAGACTTCTGTGGCATTTCTACACAGATTTCTCAGTGGAGTAAAATTCCTCTGGAATTAAGTTATAGCAGTGCTCTGAAATGGTCTGGAATGGAAGTATTTTACAGCTACCCTAAAGCACTCCCTGGTTCTCCTGGTGAGCTATTTGGGTTGGAGCAAGATTATTCTGTGGCTAGGAAAAAGTAGTGATCTTATTTGCATATATTTGATAAATTCAGATATTGCTTTATAGTCTACTGAAGGTCTTGTAATTAGGTCATTGTGTTTGCGTGCTACAGATTAAATTCTCCTGATAATTAAAGGATTCTTGAATTATGACTGTATTTTCAATGCTAGGTACAAAGGGAAGAGCTACCGTGCAACTGTGGAAGTTGTCAGGACAGCAGATCGGGTGGCAGATTTCTGCAGAAAAACATGCATCAAGCTGGAATGTTGTCCAAACCTCTTTGGCCCTCAGATGGTGCTGGACAAGTGTTCAGAGAACTGCTCTGTCCTTACAAAGACTAAATACAGTGAGTAGGTTGCCCATCTCAAACAAAGGCAGAGCTTGGGGTGTTATATTATTGTTTCTTTTGGCTTTGGCTTCAGAAGGAACACAAAATACGTTGCTTTGCTTACACAAAGAGCAGCTTGAGCACTACAAAATGTCTAGGTGCCAGTGTATAGGGGAGAAAAAAATAATTCTGTATTAAGAGGTAGAACCATGGCTTAATTTTTCGTTGTGTGCTTAAAGCTTTATCTTCTGAAGACAACTTCTGGGACAAGAATTGCCTCTGATATTGTAATTTAAGTGGCATTGTGATTCCTTTACCAATTTGATGTGCAACAAAATATAACACCATCAAGTTCTTTTCTTAGCTTTTAGGGTTTTTTTAAAACAAACTTTAACCATTTGACACTGTGAGAACAAACAGTCTCTTGAGGTCATGTTCAAAAACTATAAAACATCACAAAAAGCTCTTTTAAATTAGACCAAGTCTGTGGCAGATGATTTTTGTATAAAATCTGATCATTTGGGGCTTCTCAGAGATAGAGGAAGTAGATCTTTATAGGGCAAATAAAACTGATTAGTGAATCTTCTTCCTTAACCCAAATTGAAGAGGGGAAATACAGACATACTCATTCTGAAGTTTTGCAGAATTGGGATTTCTATAGGGAAATGTCCTTCTACTGATTTTTCAGTCCTGATGATGGACAAACCTAACTAGTGACATTTAAGGTACGTTTCAACATGGTGCTCCTCTCTTCTGTCCTGGTAGCACACTATTATGGAAAGCGGAAAAACAAGCGGATAGGTAGGCCTCCGGGTGGCCACAGTAACCTGGAAGTAGCCATGAAGAAACCAAATAAAAGACGGAAGAGACGAAAACATTTTTTTGTTCATAAGAAAAAACGTTCTTCTACATCAGTGGATAACACTCCAGCTGGATCTCCCCAGGTATGAGACTGCCAACAACTTTAATAGATACAGTATGTGATCTTTGACCAGCTTCATTTGAAAGAACAGTTAGTTCCTTCTAAGCTCAGCTCACGGCTGACACATGGGTGGCAATCGTAGCTTTTGTCCTAAACTTCCCATTTACTTTTTTTTTTTTTTTCCTCACTTGTGGTTTTTCTCTCCTTCTTCAGGGCAGCGGGGGAGAAGAAGAGGATGACCAGGACGAGGTAGATGAAGAGTCTCTGACTGAGGATAGTACGTCAGAGCACCAAGACGAATTGCTTGAGGAATCAGAGGTATCGGAGAAAAAATCGCTGTCGTCCTCTCCTACACAGAGTGAACTGTCTCATTCCCTGGCTCAGGACAGAGACAAGCGGAAGAGGAAGCTCAGAACCTTTTCCTTCTCTGATGATGAAAATAAACCTCCTTCGCCAAAGGTAACATTGAATGTAGACTTCTGTTCTAGCTTGCTCACTGTTGGAAAGAATTAATATCTTGGGAGTATTAACCATCATCCTCACACGTGTGTTTTTGTAAAATGCTCTGTTACCCCATAAAAGGCATCGTGAAGACACTACAGTGTGAAGACACTGCACAATTTTCACTATAGTCTTATCACAGGACTGTAATAGAGACTAAACAGGAAGCTGTAGACAGAATGGTGAGCTTTCCATTTCCCAGCAGCTAGCACTCCTCTTGGTTCAACTGGAGCAGTGATGTGGTGATTTGGACTTGACCAAATCCTGGGTTTACATCCCTGCTTAATGGTTCTAATGACGTTATAGCCTCCATTCTCAGCACAATGCTGTTCTGCACATCTCTGCTAACCAAGAAACCTCTGCAATTTGGGCTCTCATTAGGCCTTTATTTGGCAGCTGAATGTTTGAGTGTGGTGGAGTAGAGGCGAGTGTTGGTCCATTCCGTATGTAATATTTTGGGAATTGTTTTTGTGCTGGGTGGCTTGTCTAGGACATAAAGGTGGAAGCTGCTGAAAAGCTGGAGCTGGACAGTAACCCTCTGGAATGGAGCGTGGCTGATGTTGTACGATTCCTCAAATCCACTGACTGTGCACCACTGGCAAGAATTTTCCTTGATCAGGTATTATTTTCTGTCTGTTAAAATGTTGAATCTGTCACTCTGCTGCTTATCTTCTAATGATCACCAAAAGAAGCTACTTTAAATTTTATAATGGTGTTTTGAGGAAACAAACACATGTGCAACCTTCTGTACTTTGGGAGATGAGAGTTAAGGCAGCAATCAAAATTTTTCAGGTTTCTTAGTACTCAGTGGAGAACAATAGGTCTGTGGGTCACCTGAATCCCAAATCTTGGTTGTAGAGAATGCCTACAACCAAACACCATGAAGGCAGGAGCCTGTTTTCTAGGAGATAGAGTTTTGCCACTTGTGTTGACTTTTCCAAATGATAAATATTTTCTATTTTGCAGACTAACTGCAGGTGTTACAGTGTTCTAAAGCTGCACAAGTGAACATTTCTGTCTTAAAGTAGGACTGGAGTACAAACATGACTGGAGTTAACATTGTATTTGCATCTTGGTTAAAATTCCATGTAAAAAAAAACTATTTTTTTTTTGCCTGTCAAAACTGTATTGCTAGAGTAATACAGTTACTCTACATTAATAGAGTAACACAGTGATGGGTATGGCTTGTGGTAGATGTTGCAGAGGATATTCTTTGTAGAACTTCTGTTTCTATAGAAGGATGCAGAGGTTAGGTGTATTTACTTTCTGCATGAAATTTCCTTGGTTTCTATTGCTAGGTTGATTTTTTTTTTTTATTATTTTTATTTTTTTTTAATAATAGCATCTCAAGAGATTCTGTCCCTTAGGCAGTGAATCTGCGCTGACATTTTAAGAAAGGAGTTAAGTTGTTGTGAGAAAGATTTTAAGCTTCATGGGGTTGCATGAAAGAAATACCTAATTCACAGATGGTCGCGAATCTGAAATTGCAGCAAGTCAAAGCTGAAGGAGCAGGGAATATAAAAACACAAAGTCACTATGGAGTTTTTGTCTTCTGACAGGAAATCGATGGCCAGGCACTGCTGCTGCTGACCCTGCCCACCGTTCAGGAGTGTATGGACTTGAAGCTTGGGCCAGCTATTAAACTTTGCCATCACATTGAGAGGGTGAAACTTGCCTTTTACCAGCAGTTTGCTAACTGAGGAGCAGCCAAGTTGAAGTGGACCTTTGAAGCACAACTACAAAAACATTCTCCTTTCTTTTTAGCAAGGAAAGCCAAATGAAATTAAACTGAGGCCCTGGTGACCTAAGAGCATCTGTCAGCCTCAGTTTTTCGCTTTGACAAAAAGAAGACAACATCTGGAGCAAAATGCCAGTCCAAACACGGGCTACTCTACCAGCTGCCAGCTCGGGAACACAATAGTCTCTTGCTCTATGGTTCCCTTTTTTTAATGTATTTTTTAATGATTACAGACAAGTCTCCTCTGGTGGGAAATGACATTTCAATAGTTCTGTTGGCACGGAACTTTAAAAGGAGAAACGGATCCTGTTTACGTTAGCATGTAGGCTGCCAGAAATAACCTTTCTCTGTTCCTGATGATTCACAGAATCCCCTTTCCTCCATGCGGACGAAAACTTGCTTTACCACAGCACTGACTTTGGAATGTGTTCTTTGCACATTCGTGTGTTAATGTTGAGTTTTTAATGAATTTTGTTCATTGTAAGGACAACAATGTGGCCACAGGGTTCTGAATGTACAGTATAGCAAGAGTGTGGTTCCTTTGGGGTTTTTGGTTGGTTGGTTGGTTGGTTTATGTTTCATTGCTGTTGGGTTTTGTTCTGTTTTGTTTTTACTACCTCTGTAGCCTGAACAGTAGAAGTAATGAACTAAAAAAGGAGGGATTTACTTGGTCTGGACAAATCATCTGTATCTGCACAACAGTCTCTCTTCTGTAGGCATGTCAGGAGTACAAACCTGATATCAGCATACAGAGCTTCTGTTCCAGAGCTTTAGCTGAAACCTGTGTAAGGCTTAACCTGGATGTTTCCTTTCTCTCAGATATCAGAACACTTATTTATTTTGCACTTCTCTTACAGATGGACTGTAGGAAAAAAGGAAGGAAAGAGAAAGTGCCTCTGCATTTTCTATATTTTGGTTGTCAGATTTTAATTTTTTTTTTTTTTAATTGTGTGAAGTTATTTCCTTTTTCTTACAGTGAACAATTGGGCCATATACGCAGAGCCTGTCAGCAGACTTTTGCTTTGCTACCTGAACATCTTTTTAGAGATTACACTATGGAAACTGCCATCAATAGAGGACTGCAACTTAGCTGTGCCAGTGTTTGCATACTGGAAGCTATCTTATGAGCATGACTTTGTATTTTTAACTATTTACAGCTGCTCAGGACCAGACTTAGTGAAAATGTGAGGGGTTGAGAAGGGGGTTGTATGCTTGTTTTAGAGAAAAGGACAAGGACTAGAAGGGACATCTAATTCCATCAGTAGACCCACAGTGGGATGAACTGCTGATTGCAATTTTCCAGGGTAATAAAACCCTGTCAGTCACTTGCTGTAGACCTGTACTTTACAGTAACAGGGTTTACATTACTTTCCATTAGGGATGTGGGGGACCTTACATCAGGCTCAAGATCTGCATCAAATAAGCATTAGGTTTCAGCTGGCCTGCATGCATTCATTCTGCCTCTTCTCAAAGTATTTGGAGGAGCGCAGGCAGGAGCTGTGTGTGTGCAGCCCTGGTGCTTTATCTCCTGTTCAAATACATTTTTGCAGAAAGCCCCTGGCATACTGAGGCGTTTGAGGTAAGAAGGTGCTCACTGCAGAAATCTGTTTCGGAAAGACGCATTTGCTGGTTTCTGATAAATACTGGTTACTCTGGTCAAATGGATTGATCTAAGCATCTCTTAGGCCTAATGTGATCAGTTACTCTGATGCTGTGAGCTGTAGGATTTAGCAAGGAGGTAGATTGTAAACTAAGTGGAGTTTGCACAGTCTCTGTCTGCATCTGCCACATAGGTGTTGAGGGGCAGCTACTTCCAATGAAAACCGTTCAGGGTAAGCAGCTAAATACCTGGGGTTTATTTCTTTTGCCCCATTGCTAAACTGCCCAGTAAAGGCAGCACTATTTACAAAAGTGCTAAATCGGATTTTTTTTTTTTTCCATTCCAGAATCAAACAGTAAATCTCAGACAAGCTGTTTACGAGCTGGGTGTTCCTGAGAGGGGGAGGGCAGTGTGTAGCTAGGATAATATTTTCTCCCAAGTTGTAAGCAGAGTCTGAAAACACAATTAAACTGATATCAAAGTGTGCCGCCTTCTTCCTCACACTGCATTATGTGGCCAGTAAATGGCTCTCCATATTCTGGTTAGGGCATCCACCTGTACTCCATTCCCTTAGGGCAAGCTCAGTGATAAGCCATTAGGCCTGAAAAAGCTCTTGAAAGAAACATTGCTGCTTTGCTATCAGCATCTTGTCTTGAGAGATCTGACCAGCAGAGAACTTCTGGGATGGAAGATGATGCTTTTGGATCAGATTTGTCATTCTTCAGGGTTTCCAGAACACCACTGCAGTGATACCAGCAGAACTGACCTGCGTAGCCAAGAGATGTTGCTTCCACCTTTCCCCATGGACAGATAGATGTCTTCTTAAGTAATTATCAGGAGAGAACAGAGCTTAAAGGATAACTTAGTGAACCTGTTAACATGGTGCCTAGGGGTTTTAAATACAAATGTCATACTTTTTTTCCATTCAGTAAATAAAGCAGTCAGCAGTTTCAGAGGTTAGTGGGATACTTACTGGTCACCTTTAGCATGTTTTATAGGCTGGATTTTTCTGCCTTGTTTTGGGAGGCACTGACAGTCTGGTCCCAATGGGATCTATTTTTGTTGAGATTTTCAAAAGGGATGTTTTCATTATTTGTGAAATGTTTTTATGCTGCACACGGGTACTGTACACTCTGTTTCCTGGAAAAAATGCACTCTGTTTTATTGCTGGATTTAAAAGGGATAATTGGGGCTTTATCTTGATGGATGGTGTTTCTACTTGACTGTTTCAAGTTCCTCTTTCTCTGTGTGTGGCAGATGACACAACTGCACTTATATTTGTTCATTTTACTCCAACATGACTTGAAATCGACTCACGCACTGCTTTAGTTGCTCTGTTTCTTCAAAACTGGATTTTGGATAGCTGATGGCTGAGTCTTGC